ATAATATCAAAATATGGTAGCAACTAGTCTCATTAGTCATGCAACTCCAATTAAAATGATACTATTCTCTCTCAATTAGGCCCAAAGATCTTTGAATTCTTCAACTAACATCCTCATCTGTTAAAAAAAGATTCAAAGTAAAAACAAGACTCTGGTTCTCAATTAGGCATATAACAAACTTAGGATTGCAAGAAATGATTTAAAAATGAATACAAATTCTAACTCATTAATCTCCTCCATTGTTTCTTTTTCTATTATATCTACTATTCGCAATTGAAAGAATGATAGAAATAATACTCCAGGATTTTAAATGAATAGAAATGGATCAAAGTTTTAATATGAACAACAAAGATATCAAATATTAATGAATAGACTGAAATACCCTTAATATAAATAATAAACCTAATCCTAATTTACTTCTTCTCCTTCTCTCCTTCCCACTCTTTCCTCACACCATTGATGTCTCCTAAGACATCGTTGTCGACGTCTCCACGCCATCATTGTCGCCTTATCGCTGCCATCCTGACACATCGGTACGCCTGCTCTTCTCCTTGTTTCTCTCCTCCTCAATCTTGTGATGCGACGACGCTAAAGTCGGTCACGATACATAGAGTAATAAATTGGATTGAAAGAGTAATTACATTATTTCGATATTAGAACACATTTGGTAAGTCGGTAACCCCTAATTTTACCTCATCAACCAATTTTTTACTAAACATGTAACTTTTAATTTTGCATCCTGAATCACTTAAGAATCAAAATTAGAAAGGTTGAAATTACTTTTTCGCTTAAATTAAATCAAGTTATTTACTTACCACAAAAGATCCATTTAATTATTTTTCGCATAATTACGTCTTTATTTTAAAATAAAATAGATTAAATATTATATTTTCATAATTCAGCCAATATAGTTGGCCTTAGTGGCTTCCGACAAATTTCATCAATCTCATTAAATTCAAACAATTTAGGCAATTTTGATACTCTCCCGGTCCCTTAAAACTTTGTCATATTTCTTTTTTGGGACGACAGACAATATTTTGTTTGTGAATCGATGTTCACAGATAAAAAAAAGCTTTCACAGAAATAGATGTGTACAAAAGTGTGTATAAGAGTGTGTACAAACATCATTTTTGTTTACAAATATAGGTAGATAGAGTGTGTTGAAAGCGAATTCTCACTTTATATAGCCTTTTAGGGGACTTTATTTTTTGAATTGTACGATGTATGTCACAGTCTAATAACAGAAACTGAGCGGGGGCAGAACATCATGTGGATTAGTGCAGCAGATGTTTCCATAATTAGCACTTTAATACGACTTAATACCCTGTTGTCAGTTTCCCTTGTTAGAACATTCGCATGAACCTGCGATGTTCTAGCGTGAGTTCATCTCATCCGTCCAGCATTAACGGTTAAGGTTTAGTTTGGACCGTAAATACTGGATCATAAACCTGCCCTGTACTTGTTGCCTTTGAAGAAAGAAACCATTTTCTTGTTTAGGAGCCAAGTTTGGTTTGTAACTGGTGGACCTGTTGCAATCTCATCTGTCGTGTTTGGTCAACAACAAGTTATACCCTGAAAAAGTAGTGATGAATTGTTATGAAAGGAACTTAAGGAAGTGAACTGTTTGTGATAAAAGAAAAACTTAGAGAAACCAGAAAATGGAGAGGATCAGAGCTGCCAGAGAAACTCTAAGGTGCTGTTTGGAAGCATCTAAGGTTTTATCCTCAAATTTTGACATTGCGGGGGAGACATTGGAGAAGACGAGCCAGAGACTACATTTCTTGGAAACCTCCATCACTAAAATCAAAACAAAATGCAATCTTTATAATAAGATCAAAGACCCTTTGGACTGTGCAATTCATCTCTCTGTTTCTATTCCAAGCATGTTTCAACTCCTCCGCGGCTTGGAAGATTCTCTCCTCTACTCCCACCCTTCTTACGGTTTGTTTGAGTACCTAAACACCATCAAGTACACTCAAGATTCACTGAGATTCTTCACTGGTTATTGCAAATTGACAATCCCCTGTCTGGAAGAAGTGGACCATCTTCTTGCGGAGAATAACTATTCCATTGCAGACACTTGGTGTCTTGAGAATGTGAATAAATGTCTGGAGATGGTCGAAGAATTGTTATCCATGGAGGAAAGGTTTAATTCTGAAGGGGGGGCTCTGTTTTCAGCATTAGACAAACTGGAGACTGAATTAGCCACTCTCTTAATGGATGATAACATAGTTATGGAGAAAATTCAGGCCATTATTGAAAGGTTAGCTGCAAATAATCGCCAAACAAATTTTGTTTCTGTTTATGTTGAAATCCGGAGTTTAAATGCCAGAGAGAGATTGGAAGAACTGGGGTTCGATTACCTGGAAATGCCATTAACAGAGATCGACAGCCTTAAAGGTGTAGAAAACCAGATATATCATTGGGGAAGACATTTGGAATTTGCAGTGAAATATGTGTTTGAAACTGAGTACAATCTCTGCTGTGAGATTTTCCAAAAGAATCACAGAGAAATCTTTGCACGGATTGTTACCCAGTCTGGGTTTCAATCATTCTTCACGTTTGGAAATGCCATAGCAGTGGAAAAGAAGGAAGCAATCAAGATTTTGAAGCTTCTTGAAATATTTGCAGTTCTTAACAAGCTAAGACTGGATTTTAACAGACTTTTCAATGGAAAAGCGTTTTGGGACATCCAAACACAGACTAGGGAACTGATGAAGAAAGTTGTGAATGGTGTTTGTGAAATTTTCTGGGAACTCCACCAGCAAGTTGAACTTCAACAACTTCCATCTGCACCACTACCAAGTAACTGTGGTGTTCCAAGATTGGTCACTTTGGTCACTAATTTCTGCAATGAGTTACTAGAAGATGAGTACTGGTTGACTTTACTCCAAGTTGTTGAGATTCATCAAGGATGGAACCACAAGGAGTTTGATGAAGAACTCGTCACGGGCGAGATTCACAACATAGTGACCGCGTTGGAGAGGAATCTGGAGGCATGGGCAAGAGCATATGCGGAACCCGCCCTCTCCTGTCTCTTCTTGATCAATAGTCACTGGTATATTAGCAAACACACGAAGGGTACAAAACTTGGTGAACTAATGGGAAATTCGTGGATAAGAAAGCAAGAGGAAAACATTGAACATTTCATGGAAGCTTATCTGAAGGAGAGTTGGGGAAAACTAGCTGATGAAGATGATAACGTCTCGTTTGATAGAGCATTTGAGAGAATCTATGAGAGCCAATCCGGGGTGGAACTATGTGACAACAGGCTAAGATGGAGGCTGTGTGAAGTTGTTCTTCAGGCTGTTGTTCCTCCCTATATTGAAAAATATGAATCTCCAGTAGATAGAAAATACAAATCAGAAAGGTTGGAGAGGATGATTAGTTCTCTGTTTAAACCAATGGTAGAGGAATTTGGTGCCACCAAATGCACAAAACTTACCAGCAAGGTCAATAGAGTCATTGCTAACCGAGTCTCCCGAACTCCTGCAGCTGCATGATCATGAATATAGATTTGTATAACAACACTTAATATAGTGCACATACATACACACAAAATGACTCAGCTCAATTAGGTTGTGTAGAATGTAGATACTTGATATACTTAATTTATTCCCCTTAATCATGTTTAAGATCATTTATTATATACCTTCACTCTTCAGATTTCATTATTCATGCAATGCTGGGTAAAACATGAGATAAAAAATAATAACACTGACCAATGACCTAGGGTTGTACTTATGTGCCTTGTGTCAAGAAAAATAATTTCCTTATTTCAAAGTAACAATCCATGGATAAGACAATCTTTGAAATTTCGTATCACACAGTTGAGGGCCTGAGTCTGATGTACGGATTCGGTATTGCATAAGCCTCATTTATTAATACAAATTTATAGAAAAATAATAAAAATACTATGGTATATTTAAAATCAATTTATATTATATAATATAATAAAACGGCAATTAAAATTCCACCAATCTTGTTGTAAAAACAAACAATAGTAGGGTTATAACCCAATCAAAATAGTAGGTTCAAACATCACAGATTATCAAATATTGCCTAGTCAAGTTAGCATTTAATTTTTTTTATCAAATTTGGGAATGAAAAATGGGTTTATCGATATAAAGTTGTTCAAAATTACGATTAAATCCCCACATGAAATGCATTATTACCATCACCGCTATCATTGTTAGAACCTAGAAAGAAACAAAACCCTATAGCAGAGAAGCAAATTCATATGATCATATCATGTTGATTGAATATCATACTAACATCAAACAAATTATATATACCACGTTACTAACGGGGAAATGCACAAATAAAAGGGTACGATAACTTGAGCAAAGAGAACGAAGAGTCTGACAAGAAAGGCGATCGTTGAAGAAGAGAAGTGAAGTGCAAGAGAAATGTATAAAAAAGATTTCTTTTGAAGTGGCCACAACATACTTAATTAGAATCAGAAAGTGCAATTGCTACGCCTGTACCATGCCTCATTGTGTATGGACTCAGTCCTAAAGGCGTCAGTTCTAAGTTCTAACATTGTAGTTTTGGAGTTGCACATTTGCCCTAAAAATTGCTAATGACCATTGCAGTAGGGAGTTCGGTTGAGCCTATTACTTAAGTGCATAGCACATAAATAAATGACCATCTTGAATGTTTTCTTTTTTAAAATTTTTTAACATTACTTTTCTTGATATTTTTTTTAACATTATATTGTGGTAGGGAACTCAGCCTGATAGACGAGTTTTAAAACTCGATAAATTTGATCAACTTGGTTTTCACTACCATGAGTCCGTGACCATTGCCTTATATCATCTCATCAACTAATAAAGAGTAATAATGATACTTAAGAGTTAAGGCTCGTTTGGTACAGGTAATTGGCTGAAATGCATGAATGTGCTGAATTTTATGAGAGAAACTGTAAAAGCACTGGAAAACTACTTACTCTGCTTAAATCAGCCGATATGGCCACCACACAAAGCTTTAATCTTAACTCAGTTGTGAAACACGTAATTTCCCTGTTATGATTCTTTTTTGGGTCTAAATACACATATAGAAAGCTACAAGAACTTCATGTCTATGAACCTTACTTTTCACCAAAACTTTAACAACCTAATTTTAAGACCACAAATGCAATATTAGATCATACAGAGATGAAACAATGACTAATTGTCATCTTGACCAAACCAACAAAACCACAACATAGCAATATCACCTCATTTCAAAACTTTGTTTTACAAAAAAGTTTGATGGACAGAGCAAACAAGCTCCAATGATCATGAACACCGACACGCTTTCTCACAGAAAGCGAATATTGGGGAACTAGTTTGGATTAGACCAAGTATGGATGCAAACTTCAGAATGTTAAGCAACCTTTTCGAATCTTCCCTTTGACGTGATCTTTTTAAGCTTCTTAGCCTTCTCAAACTCTAGTGCATGGAAATTCTTTTCCACTTCCCAAGCAAGTTGAGACATACAATTGAAAGAAGATTTAGCGCCCTTCTCATCAGCCACTTCTCTAGGAAAAGGGATTCTAACTTCAAAGACATCCTTTTGGGGAGACCAGAAGCGGACATCAAACCCTAATCGGTCAACCCATAGCATCCGTGCATCTGATACCTATCAGAGAACCAGGAAAGAAAGTAAATTTAGGACTTGTTTGGTAAGGGTTATTTGGCTCAAATTGATTAATCTACAAAATTTTCAGATTGGAGAAGTGTTCTGTAACATTCAGTTCAGCCAAATAAGCAACTCAAAAGCTACTTATTTTGTGTATCAGCAGAATAAGTGGAATCATGCTACCAAATGGGAGAGCTGAAAAGAGCAATTGCTTTTATAATTGAACAGACCAAAGCTAAGAACAAACCAAAAACCGTTGGAGAAAAAGATAATGGTTGTTTACAGACCCGGAAATTCAAATCCACATAGGCATTACAAAAACGAATAACGTCTTCCATATTGTGAAGATTTATCTCTGTGATCATTCTTTCGGCAAAGTCTCTGAGTGGATCAGGGCTTGCGAGCTTGTATTCTGAAGAGGCGACCCATACCCCATCCTGAAAGTAGAATAATGAGAAAAGCAGTGGTCATCTATTTCGTCGGTAAAATTAAAACAGCAATGCATGAGTGACGAACCTCCCCGAGATCTTCAATTTGAAGCAACCGTTCAACAGAAACAGCATACAAGCAGTGTTCATCTACATCATAGCCAAAACGCCTTTTCCATACTGATTGTAGCTTCTGTATGACAGAATTTTATGTGAGTGTGATTCATTCTCAACTTCCTTTTTTGTCACTCCACTATTGAAGCTACATGAAGCAAAAAGGCACCCTAGTTGATGGGTTAATCTTCCAGACAGATAATCCTAATGAAACTCTGTAACTGTGACCTTTAAGAAACGAGTTATGTTTTTTTCAGTTCACACTACATTTTATAAATAAAGCTCCACTCCATTAATTCTTAGTTTTATTACTCTCTTGTAAGGATTAGCTACAAATGAGCACTTCATAGTTTGAGATTAATAGATCCACACATTGATCAATCTATGGTTTTATTCTATTGTTATCATATTGGAATGAGGGTTTATGACGGTTGTCTATATCTTGATATACATTTGAAATTTAGTAGAAATTAAAGGAGTAATATTGTAGGTGACTATATAACATTTTAATCACCCTTTTTCTTTTTCAGAAATATTATATTATTTCAAGATATAACGGGAAACAATTGAGAGAAAGCATACTACTTAATTAGGAGGGTGACACATTGAACTGCATTTGATAAACCATTACGGAGTATAGTGTGAATAATCTGCAATGAGAATGATGAGAACAGAAAGGATGCAACTAAGCAAACAAAAAATAGAGTGGGAGCTAGTGAACTAACTTTTGTCATACCTCCAAAACCTTAGGGTCTTCTGGCTTCACAAGGACACCTTGCACTGTGCACTGCAAAGTCCTCACACCACACTGGTCTAGCTGTTAAAAAAGCAGTGCAAAATATCAAAGGATGAAACGTTTAGTAAAAACCTAACACGATAAAGATTACATCTTTACAGCAGAAACTGAGAATTGAAGAGATCAAATACCTGGACGTGGAAGCTGGACTTGATATTAACAGAGACTTCAGAAATGGAGTCATTCAAGCAGAGGAGAGGGGTGCCTTCAGGGTCAACAGCAAAGCGAACTCCGATGCCCATAGGCCAACCATCTTGGGTCAGTGTGGAGAGAGTGCCTACGGAGGCCAATTCCATTATTGTTCTAGAAACTTCAGCTGGAAATGGCTTGCCATCGTTAGCCGATTCAGATTGGGTAGGCTCTGGTGAGACCACTGAGATAGAGCAGTTCGGAGGTCGAATTGAGAGTCCGCGGCACGAGTTCTTCTTCCTTAACAAGGAAAGTTTTTGAGTTTTAGGGCATTTGTGAAGGATGAGAGAAATTCCTCTATTGAAGATGGGTGGGGATGGAAGATGGGTGGTCAGCCCTCGAGTTTGCGGAAGCATCTGAAGTTGACTCGTGAATACTCAGCGCTCGACTTTGCACTTTTGCAGAAGCGTTTGAAGCTGACTCGTAAATACTCAGTAGAGAAATGCTGTACACCCTGGGTTAATGGGGTACACTCAGAATGCCCAATTTTTTTTTACCCCATCCACACATTCCACACGCTCGGACGTGTGTCAAAAGCACACAAAATAACCCGCCTCTCCATTCTAAAATCGACCCATCTTTCCCGCATCCCAACAGTTCCCGCCCCGCCTTCCTCACCCCCTTGTGTGGCACACCTTCGCCGTTCATCCTCATCCCCATTTGGCAGACTTAGCACGTCCGGCTTCCTCCTCCATCCCCATTAAGCAGACTTCGCGACTCCGGCTTCCTCCATCCTGACTCTGAAGCCAGCGTTGCGTCAACACCGAAGGGAGAAGACCCCATTGAAGACCCCACAGTTTCGAACAAGGTGTAAACCAGTCTGTCCCACAGCGGTACGTATGAAGTCATCTATTCACTTTTTATGTTTTGGGTTTGAATTTCAACAAAAAAAAAAGTCACGACTTTGGAAGAAATCTGTTGAATGTCATTTGTTTCATCATTAATTGGTGAAGTGTGACTTCCAATTAGAGTGTTTGTGTGACCTTAGGGTTTTTATAGTAGTTGTCTGTGCAGTGTGGGTGTTAAACTAACGAGCTGTTTGTGAAGGGTTATATTTCAGTTTAATTTTGCGAGTCTTGGTTTTGTGAGTTATATATTACACTTTGTGACGGTTGTTTAACATGTTAAAGTGCAGGGCGCTTCTGTTGCAAATTCCTGTTAGTGAGCATTTCCCGAGCTCTTATTCAATATGCTCCAGGTTTGGAGATGCCGCAAAGTTGCTGAATGTTTGTTTGTCAAAGAAGCAGCTCACCATGTTCAAAGACACTCCGTGGGGTCATTTGCTAGATGCTCAGGAGATGTAATTCTCTGCCCAGATCATCCACGTGTCCTTGTTACACCTAGTGAGTGAACACCCAGAGATGTGGTTTTGTGTGCGAGGGAAGCTTTTGAAGTTTACTTTAATTTCAATGATTTTGTCCGCATAATTCGACTACCACCTACTGTTGAGAGGCTTGAGTTGTCCACCGATGAAAAAGACTCAATTCCTAAGAAGTTCTTCTAAGGGACGCATCGAAATTACATTTCAGCAGCTGAAGAATAGGATGAAAGATTACAAGGCTCCAAGGAGAGGTGATCCACTACAGGGTCTCAAGCTTGCATCTTTGTACTACACACAGTGTGTCCTGCTTTCAAGAAGTACCCTTGGGCGTTATAATCATATAATTCGACCGTGACACACATGAATTCGCTAATGGTAGCCTGGTAGGCCAACCAATTTTTTTTAAGGAAAACAAGGTCGACGATCCTACGTACCAAAAAGCGAAGAATACGATGTATGGACTCCCGCATGTGTTACGCGTATGATTCAAATTATACACACCTACTTAGTATATTTAATAACAACACAATTTATCACAACTTTTGCCATTTGTATAGGTTTGGGCGTACGATAATGTACCGAACTTGGTTAAATTAGCCGCTATAAAAGTAGCTGAAGAGCCTTGCTCCATGCTTAACTGGAAAGCGGAAGGATATTTTCAAGCCGCAAAGCTTCAAGAAAAAGTCTTCTTTGAGGTAATAATACTAACCCACATCGATGTATGGAGACAAAATCTGTCTAATCTCTTGCTCAAATTTGTTATGTTTTTGTTCTAAGAGAGTGATTCGTCTACCAATGAAGCTGGAGATGAATCTTCGTTGGGACATCCGGTTGTAGTTGAAGAATTAAAAAAACCAAGGTTGTGTATTGAATGTTTGGAGTCTCGGTTGAAAGTTGTTGAAAGGAGTACTGTTGAAATGAAGACGCTGGTAGTTGCACGATTTGGAAAATATGATAAAAACGGTGTTGCAAACCCCCTTTCTGGAGACGATGAGGTAAGCATGTATAACTTACTACTTATTACTAAAGTCAGTGTGAACCGATGCTTCAATTTATATTTGTCTGTGTACCGGCAGTAATACTTTTGTGAATTTTCAGCCTGTTGCCGAAGGAAGCTCCCCGGTTGGATGAGGTAAGCATGTATATGTTACTACTTATCAGTTATGTGAGTATGAACAAATGCTTCAGTTTATATTGTCTGTGATTACTGTAAATAATACTTGTGTGCATTTTCAGCCTGTTGGAAAAGGAAGCCACCCACTTGATCAAGGAGGTTCGCATACTTGTGTGAACCCCTTTTTTGGAGAGGTTGAGGTAAGCATGTATACGTTACTACTTACTATTACTATCAGTGTGCACTGATGCTTCAGTTTAAATGGTATGTGATTACGGTAAGTAATACTAGTGTGAACTTTCAGGGTGTTGGCGAAGGAAGCCCCCCACTGGATCAAACAGTTTCTCATACTTATTTTAACCCCCTATTTGGAGAGGATGAGGTAACCATGTATACGTTACTACTTATAATGTCAGTGTGCACCGATGCTTCAGTTTATATTATTTGTGAGTACCGTAAGTAATACTTGTGTGAATTATCAGACTGTTGGCGAAGAAAGCCCCCCACTTGATCAAGGATCTTCTCATACTTCTGTGAACCCCCTATCTGGAGAAGATGAGGTAACCTTGTATACGTTACTACTTATTACTAATGTCAGTGTGCACCGATGCTTCCGTTTACATTGTATGTGCGTACCGTAAGTAATACTTGTGTGAATTTTCAAGCTGGTGGCAAAGGAAGCCCCCACTTGATCACGGAGCTTCGTATACTGGTGTGAACACCCTTTCTAAAAGGTGTCATACACCCACCAACATCATGATCTGCAGTTCTGAGGTAAACTTTGTGTGTGTACTCTTACATATCTGTATATATACACTATGAATGAGGTTGTCTCAAAATAATGCTTGTATGTAGTCATTTTTTTAATGTAGTAATATGTACAAATAAATTAAGTGCATTGTGTCATAGTATGTAGTTATTTTTTTTAATGTGTAGTTCGGTGCCGAAAATTTTCATGAAATAAGTACAAAGGCCCCATTCAAAAATTTGGGTTGGGCTGAGGTCATTGAAGAAGGTGGGTCGGCTACAATAGACGTTCTGGCGCTTGAGGAGCAAAGCCGCCAAGAAAATCAAAAAAGAAAAAGAAAGTGTTCTAAGTGTCCATGTAGTCCATTCACCGATCCTACAAGAAAGCGGGCAAAAAGACAAAACACCAATCCAAACTCAACATTTGTAGACATACGTGATGACGAGTGGCTAGGGTTGAAGAAGTGGATTGAAGAAGATGACAATCAAGAACCAACCATTGATGTACTTCATATTCTGGGCTTTGATGAAGTGACTCGCAAGTTTTTCCGAGACCTGATTGAGTCGGATGAGTGGTTGTCCAGTGAAGTAAGTAACTAGACTACAAATATTGTGTGAGTAAGCTTAATACATTATCCATGTAAGTAGAATTCATTAAAGGGTAACTTGTTTACTTAATTATTTCAGCACATAGACGCCATTTGCTCACTCATAAAGAAGTCCATGGAGAAAAAAAAAATTGAAATCATTAGTCCCTACTTTACGGTATTTTACTTAATCAATTTGATGAACTAGTGTAACGTGTTAATACCAATGCGACTTTTGATTTTATTGACTAATGTACTGTTTTAATATAGCATAAATCTTGAACAAGGACATTAAAATTGTTGAGCACTGGGCTGGAGACAGGTTACTTCCGCTTGTTAATTGGTCAGGTTTTGAAAAGGTAAGCACGTGAAATGCCGGTGAAACTATTATTTATGTCTGTCCACACCAACAATTTGTGTATTCAAACATTTGTTAACTGTCTGTGTGCAACAACAATTTATGTATTCAAACATTTGTTAACTGTCTGTGTGCACCAACAGTTTATGTATTCAAACATTTGTTAATTGTCTGTGTGCACCAATAGTTTATGTATTCATCAAACATTTGTTAATTGTCTGTGTGCACAAACAGTTTATTCGTAAATGCATGTATTAGGTTTTAATATCATTGAATGTGGATGACAAACATTGGATGTTGGCGGAACTTGACTTAAAGGCGATGGTGATTAGAGTGTATGACTCTGCAGAGTGCTAGATCTAAATCAAGTGTCCATCATTTATGCGTTAGACTACCCTATTTACTTAAAGTGGTACAATGCCCCGACTCTACTGCGGTTCCAAATGGGTTCCAACCATGGCCTGCGGAGGTAGTTCCCGATGTACCGCAACAACGAGTGTATCTAATTTTTCACCCATGTTATTGGCTATGCAAAATATAACCAATATCTATAGAAACCGTTTAGATGTAATGCTTTTTTCACGTTTTTCACCCACATGAATGCCAAACTGTAATCCCAAACTGTAATGCCCAACCATGGCTTGCGAAGGTAGTTCCCGGAAGTTTGGCATTATAGTTTGGCATTCTTATGGATGAAAAAAGCATTACATCTAAACGGTTTCTATAGATATTGGTTATATTTTGCTTAGCCAATAACATGGGTGAAAAATTAGATACTCTCGTTGTTGCGGTACACCGAAACTACCTCCGCGGGCCATGGTTGGAACCCATTTTAAACCGCAGTAGAGTCGGGGCATTGTACCACTTTAAGTAAATAGGGTAGTCTAACGCATAGATGATGGGCACTTGATTTAGATCTAGCACTCTGCAAAGAGTCACACTCTAACCACCATCACCTTTAAGTCAAAATTCGCCAACACCCAATGTTTGTCATCCACATTCAATGGTATTAAAACCTAATACATGCATTTATGAATAAACTGTTGGTGCACACGGACAATTAACAAATGTTTGAATACATAAACTGTTCGTGCACACAGAAAATTAACAAATGTTTGAATACATAAACTGTTGGTGCACACAGACAATTAACAAATGTTTGAATACATAAATTATTGTTGCACACATACATTTAACAAATGTTTGAATACACAAACTATTGGTGCGAACAGACATAAATAAAAGTTTCACCGGCATTTCACGTGCTTACCTTTTCAAAATCTGACCAATTAACAAGCGGAAGTAACCTGTCTCCAGCCCAGTGCTCAGCAATTTTAATGTCTTTGTTCGGGATTTTATGCTATATTAAAACAGTACATTAGTCAATAAAATTAAAAGTTGCATTGGTATTAACACGTTACACTAGTTCATTAAATTGATTAAGTAAAATGTCGTAAAGTAAGGACTAATGATTTCAATTTTTTGTTCTCCATGGACTTCTTTATGAGTGAGCAAATGGCGTCTATGTGCTGAAATAATTAAGTAAACAAGTTACCCTTTAATGAATTCTACTTACATGGATAATGTATTAAGCTTACTCACACAATATTTGTAGTCTAGTTACTTACTTCACTGGACAACCACTCATCCGGTTCAATCGGGTCTCGGAAAAACTTGCAAGTCACTTCATCAAAGCCCGGAATATCAAGTACAACAATGATTGGTTCTTGATTGTCATCCTCTTCAATCCTAGCCACTCATCATCACGTATGTCTACAAATGTTGGGTTTGGGTCGGTGTTTTGTCCTTTGGCCCCCTTTCTCGTAGGATCGATGAATGGACTACATTGGTACTTAGAACACTTTCTTTTTTGATTTTCTTGGCGGCTTTGCTCCTCAAACGCCAGAACGTCTATTGTAGCCGACCCACCTTCTTCAACGACCTCAACCCAGTCCAAATTTTCGAATGAGACCTTTGTACTTATTTCATGAAATTTATCGGCACCGAACTACACATTAAAAAAATAAGTACATACTATGACACCGTGCACTTAATTTATTTGTACATATTACTACATTAAAAAAATAACTACATACAGGCATTATTTTGAGACAGCCTCATTCATAGTGTATATGTACAGATATTAAAAGAGTACACACAAGGTTTACCTCAGAACTGCAGAGCATGATGTTGTTGGGTGCATGACACTCTTGAGAAAGGGTGTTCACACCAGTATACGAAGCTCCTTGATCAAGTGGGGGACTTCCTTTGCCACCAGCTTAAAAAATCACACAAGTATTACTTACGGTACTCACAGACAATATAAACGGAAGCATCAATGCACACTGACATTAGTAATAAGTAGTAACGCATACATGGTTACCTCATCCTCTCCAGATAAGGGGTTCACAGAAGTACGAGAAGATCCTTGATCAAGTGGGGGGCTGCCTTCGCTAACAGCCTGATAATTAATACATGTATTACTTATGGTACTCACAGATAATATAAACTGAAGCATCAGTGCACACTGACATTATAAGTAGTAACGTATACATGGTTACCTCATCCTCTCTAGATAGGGGGTTCACAGAAGTATGAGAAGCTGCTTGATCAAGTGAGGGGCCTTCCTTCACCAACAGCCTGAAAATTCATACAAGTATTGCTTACGGTAATCACAAACCATTTAAACCGAAGCATCGGTGCACACTGACAATAATAGTAAGTAGTAACGTATACATGCTTACCTCAACCTCTCTAGAAAGGGGGTTCACACAAGTAGCGAACCTTCTTGATCAAGTGGGGGCTTCCTTTTTCAACAGGCTGAAAATGCACACAAGTATTGCTTACGGTAATCACAGGCAATATAAACTGAAGCATTGGTTCATACTCACATAACTAATAAATAGTAACACATACATGCTTACCTCATCCTCTACAGAAATGGGGTTCACACCAGTATGAGAATCTCCTTCATGAACTGGGGGACTTCCTTCGGCAACAGGCTGAAAATTCACAAAGGTATTACTTCCGGTACACACAGACATTATAAATTGAAGCATCTGTTCACACTGACATTAGTAATAAGTAGTAAGTTATACATGCTTACCTCATCGTCTCCAGAAAGGGGGTTTGCAGCACCGTTTTTATCATATTTTCCGAATCGTGCAACTACCAGTGCCTTCATTTCAGCAACACTACCTTCAACAACTTTCAACCGAGACTCCAAATATTCAATACACAACCTTAGTTTTTTTAATTCTTCAACTACAACCGAATGTCCCAGTGAAGATTCGTCCCCAGCTTCATCGGTAGACGAATCTCTACTACAACAAAAAATAACAACTTTGAGCAAGGGATTAGACAGATTTTGTCTCCATACAATGATGTGGGTTAGTATAATTACCCCAAAGAAGACTTTTTCCTGAAGCTTTGCAGCGTGAAAATATGCATCCGCTTTCCAGTTAAGCATGGAACAAGGCTCTTCAGCTACTTTTGTAGCGGCTAATTTTGCCAAGTTCGGTACATTCTCGTACGCCCAAACCTATACAAATGGAAAAAGTTGTGATAAATTGTGTTGTTATTAAATATACTAAGTGTATAATTTGGATCATGCGTGTAACACACATGCGTGAATCCATACATCGTATTCTTCGCTTTTTGGTACGTAGGATCGTCGGTCTTATTTTCCTTAAAAAACTTAGGTTGGCCTACCATTAGCGACTTCATGTGAGTCACGGTCGAATTATATGATTCTAATGCCCAAGGGTACTTCTTTAAACTCTCAAAGTCATCGATCCATTTTAGAAATTCCGGGTTTATTTTGGTCCCTTTGTTTCTGGAAAGCAGAACACAATGTGTGTAGTACATAGATGCAAGCTTGACACCCTATAGTGGATCACCTCTTCTTGGAGCCATGTAGTCTTCCATCCTATTTTTCAGGTGTGGAAATGTAATTTCAGTGCGTCCAAGTATTTCCACTATAGGGTGTCAAGCTACACTATTTTTCCACTATAGGGTGTCAAGCTACACAAGTGGAATATATTTTTGGATCTAGCGTTTGGTGTAAATACTCTTCGTAGTTCTAGTGGATCACCTCTTCTTGACACCCTTGCGATGGAATATATTTCCCTAGCGTTTGGATCCTATTTTTAACACTATTTTTGTTCCTTCGGGAAATATAAGCAGAAATAAAAGTTGGAGTATTTGAGTGAAAGTGTGGAAGTAGTTCTAGTGCTCTAATTTACTCTCAGAAGCAGTTTTTTCAGAAGTTGTGGAAGACCAACTTTTGAAAGTTGATTCTGCTTCTGTTTCAAAACAGAAGCAGAAGCAAAATCAGTTCCAAACACCCCCTAAATCCTTTGATGAGACATTTGTAGCGTTGAGTATTTGGGATTCAAAATGTTAAAATGTAAATTTTAGTTTCCTAATTGCTAATTTCGTGGAGCAATTAAGAGGCTAATTTCGTGGAGCAATTAGGAGTCTTCTCTTAAGAGTTTTTGTAATTTTTAGTCCTTTGAGACACTATTGTAGTCCTCTACTATTGTGCTAGAGACACTATTTGTATCTTTCTTTGAAAATTTTCATATATACTCCTTCGATTTTTATAAAAATGTAACATTTGGTTCTTCAACTATTATAATAGTGACATTTTTAGTCGTCCACTTATTGTGTCAAAATCATAGTGGAACTAAAAAAATCAATTTCATAATACATAGAGGACTAAATGTGGGAAACTTTAAAGTCAATGACTAAAAGTATCTTTGACACAATAGTCAAAAGCTAAAAATGGAAAACTTAAAAACCGAGTACCAAAAGTGTCACTAACACAATAGTCAAGAACCGAAAGTGACAATAAGTTATTCTTTTAGTCAGCCCATTTACTCTCCCTGGATTGCTACTTTGCCAAAAAGAAAGGGAGATAGCTACATGGGTAGGGAGTGGGTCTGAGAAAATAAAACCCGTTTTTTCAAATTGTTATCCCCCCGTTCCATAGAGAGGTTTCCGATTCGATTTACAATATTTGACTAAAAACAAAGCAACTTAATCTTTGTTCACACTATGATTATTTCAATAAGTAAAATTTACATATTCAAAAACTACATTAAAATCGCTACAAAGCTTGATAAAAAAATGTAAATTTGATTAAAATTTGATATATAAAGCAAAAGATAAAAAATGATTTAAGTTGACTATGTGAAGTGGTTTGGGTCTTTGAATGGGACGGAGGTAGTATAACTTTTTTATCTATACACCAATTTTTACAAAAAATATATCAAAATTCATAACATTTTATTATCTTTATATATAACACCTATATCGCATATATAAATCTTTAAAAAAACTAGAGTTGTACTACTAGTGTTTTTAAGCTAAAAATACATGTAACACAATCTTTTTAACTAATGTTACTCTCACAAATAACTAAACTTTACTTAAACCCATTTTATATTTCATTAACCGGAAAAAGTAAAATAAAAATGTTTACACTAGTCGTACACTTACCCTGAGCTCATGACCTCAAAAAGAGATCATGGACTTATACATTCAACAACTAAGATCACAATAATATTTGAGATTAGTCACTTGGTGATAGAGTGATAATTGCCCCAAGGCTGATGTCACATAAGTCAATTACACCTACCAGCTGCCAGACTTACGCGTGTGACTTACTGAGCTGTTCCAGAACACAAGGAAAAAGCCATTACAAGAATACCGATAAATTTGATATTATCTCCAATCAGCCATACATGTGTCAATAGACTAGTGGGGTAGTTACTTTTATTTGTTCACCAAGTATTTCCTCATAACTATAAATATCACTTTCCAACGTATGAAAAGAAATCGCAAGTGTGATTTTCTAACACTATTACTCTACCAAATTTCTTACCCGATCCATACTTTGATTATTCTTTGACTCTCTTGGTTTTGCCTACACCAGGTCAGTAAAGCCATCAATTACTAAAGAAAAATTGTTGCAATTAATGGGAAGTTGTCAAAAAAGGAAAGAGTTGCAATTAAAAAAACTTGAGGAAGTATATTGGATAGAATATCATGATATAATTGAATATTGTATAATTATAATATTATACTAGTAAATGGGAATATTAGATAACTGTTATATGGAGTATAATGTTATAATATAAGTAAATAAAATTTAAATATATATATAAGTTATTACCTACGTCTTCAAAACAACTTCCCACTTTTCTTATTTGGGTGTCCCAAAATAAACTTCTCATTCCATAAAAAGCAACTTTTCCATATTAAATATCAAAACTACTCTTACTTTTTATTTGATTTGACATAAAGTAGGAATATTATTGGAAAGTCAACTACCCACTTTAACTTTCCACTAAAATTTGCTCAAGTCAAACTGGGAAATTGTTTTCGAGACGAAGAGAGTATATTGCAAGAAGCCAAGAATATGCAAAAAAAAGAAGAATTGGACTGACGAATCAGCTTCAGACTGGTATGCCCGGCCAGTACTGGTACCCATTCTTGGGGAACCAGGAAGCAGAAGCAGACCAGTACTCCACTACTCACTAGTCGCTACTTCTGTACACGGTTGAGCATCACACTTAGGTATGGATGGACTCGGGCCGGGTGGCCCGACCCGGAACCGGCCCGGGACCGGTACTGTTCCGCCCCGGCCCGACCCGGTGGCCCGGTCAGTGACCGGTCCGGGTAGGCCCGGCCCGTGGGTTTTCCGGTCCGGGCTCAGGTCACCCAAAACAAGGCCCGACCCAGCCGGACCCGGGCCCGGTTCGAGCCAAAAACTATTTTTCTTTTTCAATTTTTTTAAATTTTCGGGTTGGGCCGGGTATTTTGGGCCATTTGGGGTGGTTTGGGGGGTTGGGGTGGGAGGGGGGTTAATTAGGAAGAGGAAAACAAAACAAAAATATAATGGGCCCGGCCCGGCCCGGCCCGGACCCAGACCCGGTGGTTACCCGGGCCGGTCCCGAGTCCACTATTTCTGACCCGCAGGCCCGCCTGGGCCTAGGCCCGACCCGGCCCGGACCCGAGTCCATCCATACATTTAGGGATGGACTCGGTTCGGGCCGAGCCCGATTCGGGTCTTGAACCGGCCGGGCCTCGGTTCAAGGTATGGGAGGCCCGGAACCGGCTCGGGTAACCCCGGGTCCGGGCCGGGCCTCGGTTATATTTTTTTTTTTGGGCTTTTCCTAGTTAACCCCCAACCCTCCCCCTCACCCCAAACCAACCCTAACCACCTCAAATGGCCCAAAATACCCAGCCCAACCCAAAAACTTTAAAAATAATCAAAAATAAAAATAAAAATAAAAATTGGCCCGGCCCGGGCCCGAGCCGGCCGGTTCACCTTTTGAAGGGCCTGAGCCCGAACCGAGATCCCACCGGGCCGGGTGGCCCGAACCGCCAACCAACCGGTTCACCGGGCCGGGCCGGGCCCGTACAGTAGCGGGCCGGTCCGGTTCCGGGCCGGTTGGCCCGGCCTGAGTCCACCCCTAATCACACTAATTGTAAGCTACTAGGAAACACTATGAAAGGAAACTAGGAAAACATTGGAGTATATGAGGTGTTTATGAATGTATGATATATACAAAAAGGGGGAAAAGTTTATAAAAGAAAACAATGTAAAGTACATATCCGTAGTATATACAATAAAACGAAGGATGACAAAGCTATAGGTTGAGTGACGAACATGATTTTATCGTCCCAGTTTGACACATTTGGCATGAAAGAATGTCTGATTCATTTAATTACGATGACAGTTCTTCCTTCTGCCAATTGATCAACAGCGACATATTGAATCAAGCATAATCTTTCACCATCATGATCTCACCACATAGTTTCTTAGGCACTTTTTCCAATGCTTCGCCTTCTTGCCATGCTTGTCCAATGGCTACCCCCGGGCCCACGTGGCGAACATATACAACAATGTGATCATTGAATGGCCATGGATGTCTTGCTGTGATTTAAAAAAAAAAAACTATTGAGTTATTCACATGCAAAAGTCGTGACAAATTTTAACTCCCCAAGAAACTAAGCCCAACCACAAGAAACTAGTTTATGATGATGACGACGATGATAACAATAATGATAATCTTTCCATCCAAATAGTATATCAATTTGTAGATATTAAAATTTAATGAATAAAAAGTTGAATCCCCATAAAATATCTAAATCAGTGTTCAAAATTAAAACTTAGATACTTATAAACTACATAAAAAGTTTTATTGAAGCGCACAAGTTGAATTGGAATAGGCTAAAGGGTCAAATAGGTACATGAACTAACTTAAAGTGTTCAACTAGACCCTTATATAGGAGGTTCTGCCCGGCCGTCGCCAATTGGGGCGGTTCCTGGTGGAATTTTTTGATGAAATTTTTTAAGGATCTTCTTCATCAAGTCTAGTTTACCCATACCAAATTTCAGCTAAAAATTCAACCGGGAAGGCAGTCAAATGATTTTTTGAAGATAACTGTGCAGTTAAACAGCGCAGTACATTTCGGAAAATCATTTATTTGCCTTCCCGGTTTAATTTTTAGCTGAAATTTGGTATGGGTAAACTAGACTTAATGAATAACATGCTCAAAACATTTCATCAAAAAATTTCACCGGGAACCTCCCCAATATGCGACGGCCGGGCAGAACCTCCTTTATAAGGGGCTAATTGAACATTTTAATTTAGTTCATGTACCTATTTGACCCTTTAGCCAATTGGAATATGATAAAATTGATACTCAAACTAGAAAATAAAAAAGGATTCTGATCACCAGTGAATGGTAAAGTTGCAATACAATATAAGGTAGACGGAATAGTAAATTAGTAATAGTAGTAGTAGTAACAGCAACACAACATTAGAGAGGGGTTTAGTTTTACCCAAGGTCAATATTAAGTGGCTTCACAATAATCGTTCTCACCTGGCTTAGGAAAGCCCTGTGGTAAATCAGGAAGATCAAAGAGTCCACTTCCGAATTCATAAGCCAAATCACAAGGTTCCTCGGTTGACATCACTTCATTTGAGTCCCTAACCGTAAAGTATAGTGGATAAGAATTTGAAATCCCAGTCAGGATAGATCCACCTGATATTTAGTTGGCTAAATGTCAGGAGCAGTTGGAGAAAAAACATGCCAGCAAAAAAGTTAAATTACACATGATATCAAATCATTAAGTAATGTGCGCCTTTCACGGTCCATCTCTAGGAATGCATCATTAGACAATATTCGCCTTTCATGATCCATCTTTAGGAATGTATATTTGATGCTTCAAGTATGTGGTACAAAGGATCTATGTATATAAAACAAAGAAATACAGGATGTGATCAAGTATAAGAGAAAGCTAAATCCCTAAACTGTTCGGAAACTTCTCATGCTTCAAAGTTCAAACACTTATGAATATCATTTCAAATATAGTAAACGAACACTTTGTATTTTTTTAAAAATCAGATGATGTGAGGTAGCATACCAATGAGTCTTCCATATGTCTTCCCATCACCACTACGAAAGACCGCCTAGAAAAAGCACCAAAAATCAGGATGAGTACATAGATAACAGGAAATAAAATGAACGTGCAGACAATGAGTCCAAACACAATCATATCAAAGTGAAAACCTTTTTGAAGTAATTTATCCAGGCAATGAGTAGCGGCCCTGTATAACAATTTTGATGCATCAAAACAACTTCCATAAACCAAAGTACTCAAGATAATACCTTTAAGCTTAGGGTCGATGAACTGTAGTCATAAACAGTCCCATAGTAGCTATGTGCTTCGATAATTGCTCATAAGTAAAAGAGTAAAAACCAAAGCGAATATAGTTAAGAAAGTTAGCCAACCTCCACTAGTTCGGCATTTCCAAAATTCAAGTGAGGTGGCAGCATGCTCATGAGAAAGCAAGCTGGATGCACTTTTCTTTGCCAATTTTGGGTCATCATACCTCATCCCAGCTACCTCCCAAGCTCTCGATATTAGCCTGTGTTGGATGAACTGTAAGATCATGTCTGAAAGATGAAACTTTTCCGGTGCATACATGAACTCCTTTTGTAAAGATGGACAAGCATGCAAGTATTTCCCCAAACGGTATGTTTGGATATCAGGAGATTAGGAGAAGAAAAACAATGCTAAGATAAGTTATTTTCGTGTGTTTGAATTTACCTTGACAAATGAAAAGGAAAATGAACTACAATTAATATACTTAAAAGTTTTATATATTTCAAATTTCTTATTCTGTATACCATAGAAAATGAGTAAACTGAGTGAGAGCAAATATAAAAAATAAACTTATTGAGTTAGACTTTAGAACCAATGTTTTATTTCCCTAGCATATCATTATCTGAGTTCCAAACCTACCCCAACAGATGTGGCGAAAGCACACACCAGGCACATGGTTAGTTTTTTCAAGAAACCAGGGGAAAACTAAACAAAAAATACATGGGAACAGTGGCAGATTTACTCTTGTTCACTTTGAGAACACCCAATTTTTTAAAAAAGAAGTACAAAATTACAGGTATATGAATTAATGTAAGAATTACTTGGACTTTATTTGTACAGTATTTCTAATTTTAACTATATTTAATAGTTTTTTGTTAAAAAGATCTACTACCTCCGTCCCTAAAAACTTTATAATATTTTACTTTTCATATCAAGCTTGTAAACTTTGACCAATGATTTTGATTAATATTTTCTTATGAAAGTTATAAGTTTTAGGGGGTGTTTGGATCTTATTCTTAAAATTGTTTCTGCTTCTTCAGGGAGCAGAAGCAGAAGTGAGTGAAAGTGCAGAAGTACTTCTGGTGCTCTAATTTACTCCTAGAAGCAGCTTTTAGAAGCTGGGGGAGACCACCTTCTGAAAACTGAATGTGATCCTGCTTAAGCTTTAAAAAAGAAGCAAAAGCAGAAGCAGTTTCAAACACCCCCTTATACTTTTTTGATGGCATCCATAAGTTTTATACGAAGTACTTTTAAAGAGAACTTTTTCATTTCATTTATGTTTTATAAATAATTTCATATATAAATATACCGTAGTTCAATTTAATGACATTGAATGGCATATTAAAAGATGGCAAGGTTTTAGGGGACGAAGTGGGTATGTGTTAAAATATTGAATTAGACAACACTATTTCTTTAAATTTTAATTGTAAAATAATTTCAAACACTCAAACTTAAACGCTAGATCCGCCACTGCATGGGAAGACAAAGGATCAGTGCATCCATCTCGTTTTGTGGCAGATAACATAGGCAAAGAAAATCAAATACTCCAAAGATAATAGATTGTTCTGATCAAATAATGAAAATGAAAGACTTTGTACATACCTTGGGTTTAGCAAGGAGAGCAACCTATGCCGGCGTTGCTCTGGTACATCTCCAATTTTTTTCCTGCCCACACATGGCACACGTGTTATACTTAAGTCTCATTTGGAACTCGGGAAATGTAATGAAAGATCATAGAGCAGGCAATTTATGGGAAATTAGTGAGGAAATAAAATGCGAGGAAAAACAAAACATTTGCCAATGTGCACCAGACTGCCTTTTTATTTGTTCAAACTCACTTTATTATCTAATTCTATTACACAAAGACTGTAAAGTCTAAACATATAAATCTCTTAAATACATAATCCATACATAGTATTTCATTCTATTTCCATTTTTTGTGTTACACTAAACATGATAAAATGGTTTCCCTTCTATTTTAACTTTTTTCTTTCACCGTCATTTTCCTGAATCCAACTTACTTAGCCTTTAATCCACGAGAGAACAGAAACCTACTTCAAATGTAACACTACTCTTATAGTCTTATGCTCCGAATTATTTTCAGTCCTAAAAAAGTTTACTCCTTGTTTTCAAAAAAAAAAACGTATGCACCTCCAAATTTAACTGTCTAAATGCATATACAAACATTTACAGATTACCAAAGGTAAGAAGCTGGATTATATGAAGAAGGGTCGAGAGGAATGAGCTCTTCGGGAGGATCAAGAAATGCCACAATGTCCAGCTCATCTAAGTAGGCTATTTTCCCACTGGGCAGTTCTTCGTAGGGTTTATCATCCCAGCTGGATGGGAATGCGCTGCCAGAGTAAGCGGACGACGTCGTATTAGCACCCTTCCTAGCGTCACATTGCATCGATGATGAACCGCGATAATGAGGTAACCCTAAGCGGTGCAAATTCGTAGGTGGCAGCTGAATTGGGAAATTTATTTGACGGGAATGAGGACGAGAGTGAATGGACGAGTGGTGAGTCGGCAACTCAACGAGGCCCTTGCCGCTCCAGCTGCAAGTTGAGGAAAGTATTGCGGTCGTCATTTCCGTTGCAGGCGCAGCTTCAATTTTGTGTTATTAATTGGAAATCAACTAAATCCTGGTTGACGGTAGGAATGTCAAATCCGAATAAATTTCATTTTTACTACGTATCTCAGAAGTATAAATCAAGAGTTTTTCCCACTTTTAGTTCTCCGACTATTATGTCATTGACATTTTTGGTACTCGATTTTGATTTTTTCCAATTTTTGTCTTTGACTATTGCGCTAGAGACACTTTTGGTACCCGTCTTTGAAAATTTCCATATTTAGTCCTTCAAATTTTATAATAGTGACACTTTTGGTCCTCCAACTATTATAATAGTGACATTTTTAGTCCACCACTTATTGTGTTAAAATCATGATGAGAGAACTAAAAGTGTCAATTTTACAATACTCAGGGACTAAATGTGGGAAACCTTGAAGTCGGGGACTAAAAGTGTCTCTATCTAAATAGTCGAGGACTAGAAATGAAAAAATTAGAAGTCGGGTACCAAAAGTGTCATTGACATAATAGTCGAGGGACCAAAAATGGCAAAAACTCATAAATCAATTTCACAATTAGTTTAGTTTTTTATTTTAATCACCTTAAGACTTTAAGTACATCACTATTACTTTCGCTCAAATATCATCGTCATGTAGATATTTTCGATAATAAAAATCACCAGAAATGTGTCTGACATTTGGACGAAATGACCATGGATTATCGTGAACTAATAGTTAAGTATCAAAAGTGAACAAAATGAAAGATAAAAACTAAATGTGAAATTGATATAAAACTCGTAGGTCAAAAGTAAAGTTAATTCATCAAATTGACCATGAAGTCTTCTATTCAAATTTGGGAATAGTTTTAGGGAGAAAGTCCAAAAATGACACTAAGTTTTTTTACGAAACTCAGATTAGACACTAAAATTTTAAGTAGACCAAATAAACACAAAGTCATAGTTTTTTGTTGCATTTTGACCACTCTTCCCCTTCCCCGTTAAACAACCCTTCTTCCTCGTTACTCCCCATCATTCCAAAAGCCCCTGCCCCACCCCAGTCCAATACCCAGCCCCTGTCCCACCCTTGCCGCCTCCCCAGCTCCAGATCTGAGCAGCCAAACCCAGATACGCACCTCCCTAGCTCGAGCTCCGACCAGCCATCCCCAGCCTCCTCAACCAGCCCCACCCAAGCCACAGCCCCCTCGCAACCCCCCTCTCAGCCTTGTGGCCCCTCGTCACCAGCCCAACGTCGTCCCTCACCTATCGTCGCTGCCTACAACCGCACCATCGAGCACCCATAGCTACCGGCGAGAAGCTTCGGATCGAACGCAGCACGGCCAGATCTAGATCTTTGACAACGATGCATAGATGAAACGGAGCAGCGGCGTCGACGGCGAGGCGGAGCGACGGCGAGGCAATGACGCGAAGGTAATCTTCGAGGCAGGGCGATCGGCCTCCATTGTCACCTGCTCTCCTTGATCCAGATCCATGCCATTGTTGTCTGATCTTCTGGATCCAAGCCAACTTTAATCGGATGGGGAGTTAACGGGGAAGGGTTGTTTAACAATAAAGGCATTAAAGGATGACCAAAATGGAACCAAAAGCTATGATTTTGTGTTTATTTGGTCCACAAAAAACTTTAGTGTCTAATCCGAGTTTCGTAAAAAACCTTGGTGTCATTTTTTGTCTTTCTCCCATAGTTTTATGAGCTCATGTGACTCCCTCATAATCGTATGATATTCTATATGACCCATCAAATAAATCCCAATTGAGTGATCGAATTGACCATGAGGTCTTCTCTTCAGATCGCAAGGGGGCTTAGACCATCTCCAAGAATCACCAAATCTTTCACCAAAATGAGGGATTTGTCATTTTTTGCTTCAATAGCTACATGCCTACACCAAATGCTTCACCATTTCACCAAAATGGGAGAGGGGCTTTTGCGTTACGCCATATATGGCGCATCACCATCATTGCGCCATCTTCCTTTTTTCTTTCTTTCTTATTTCAAAAGTCACCTAAAGTTTTTATTATTATTATTTGGCCCATTTTTAGGACAACAAATTTAAATTATAAATTTGATACAATATAATAAAGTTTAAATCACACAATATTATAAATTTGATACAATATAATAAAATTTAAATTATCAATTTTGATAAATTTGATTGATCATTAAATAAATACTACATCCGTCCAAAGTTGGCCGGCACGGAGAATAATAAAGTAAAAAGTACTAAAAACTGTGTGGTTGAGGTTTGTGCAGAGGAGAGAGAAATAATAGAAACCACAAAATAATTGATTAAAAGGGAAAGTGACAAAGTTTTTTGGAACGTCCCAAAAAGGAAAGATGACAAAGTTTTAAGCGACGGAGGGAGTACATATAATAAAATTATAATCACGCAATATTATAAATGTTGTTTCAAATCGAAACAACATAATAACATAATGCAAATGATACTTGGGAAATAACATAAATAAAATTATAATTAATAACACCATTAAAATTAAAAGCAACATTATTAAAGTCATATATAATACATACTAATTTAGAAATTAGTAGTCATTCAACCCGCTTCCAGATCCTTCAAGACTATCAAATAGATTCCCAAATCCAACAGATTATCCACCTTCTTGAGATTTTTTTTGTAGAATTCTCGATCTTTCTGCAATGATATACGCTCGCGTTTGTGGATCGACAATAGAATTCAAATCCATGAACACAATTTTATCACAGCTCGAGCTACTCTCTGATGATCAAGTATTCAAAGTCCACAACAAATGATCAATGTGTATTTTAGATAATATTTGTAAAGTAATTGTTGGGTTAATGGCCCAACTAGGGTCGGCCCATCAACCCTTAAGGGCCACTCGACGAACGTCCCCCAAAATCCAAGCCAACTAGGGTCCTTCTCCTGGACCATGGCGAGGTACGTCCCCAACAAAACCAACCCCCATCATTAAGGCCCAAGGGACGCGCGTATCCAAGGGGGAGATAGATACCTTGGCCCAGGAGCAACGCAAGACGCTCAAACTCTATGACTTGGGGCCAGCGGAACCCAGGAGGCAAGCTCATGGGGACGCTCGTCCCCATAATTAATGCAGAAGATTTTGTGGTTGGGATCCTAGCCATCCACAGCCCACCACATCAGCATGCCCAACTACCCCTTGGTAGTATAAATAATACTACGTAGCATTTATATCATTGTAAAGAGTTGACAACTTAGCACGCTAGCATTATAGCATTCATATCAGCTCGTAGCATAGCATTGTACTGACGACCTAAGGGCTTTGTAACATTGACAGTATATTAAGACTTCTTATTGGGCCTCATCTTGCTTGTTAAACACTTACTCACCACCACTCAATTTGAAATCCCTGGGTTACGTGTTGGGCCTACGGATTGAAGGAATAAACCTCAATAGTAGTAATATGATTAGATGCATTTGTGATAGTTCTGTTATGGACACCAAATGTCACTACAAAAAAACTTCCAATTTGTCATGGATTTTGTCACGGATTTGAGTTCAAAAAATCCATGGAAAAAAAAATTTGTCTCGGACTTTGTCACGGTTTTATCCGTGACAAAAATGTGTGACTAAAAAGTTTGTCACGGCCAATATTCCGTGACAAACTTTGTCACGGATTTGTCACGACCGTCATCCGTGACAAAACAAAGAACCGGAGCAACGCCGGTATTTATTTGCCACAAATTCGTCCGTGACAAACGTTTTTCTATTTTTTTTAAATATTTCATATTATAACGGATTTATCCGTGACAAATGTTTTTTTGAATTTATTTGAAATATCCGAAATGGGCTAGGCGGGTAACTTGAAATTTTTTGAATTCAAATATTTTCATTTTGTCACGGATTTATCCATGACAAATATTTTTTTGATTTTTTTTGAAATATCCGAAATGGATTAGGCGGGTAACTTAAAATATTTTTATTATTTAAAAAAATATTTTTTGTTATGGAATAATTAGAATAATTTTTTGAAAAAATTTAAAAAGTTGAAAATTTGTCACGGCCAGAGTCCGTGACAAACATTTTATATTTAAATAAAAAAAATCTGCGACTTATTTATAAAAATTCAAATATAAAAACTTCGTTTAAATTTTTTATAGTAATTGATTTTTTTATAATGATTAAATTGTTTATAATAATTAAATACTACAAACACAATTCATACAATCACATAATGATTAAACATACATAATGATTAAACATTAATAGCAATAATCATTAGAAATTCATACGATAACAATATTTTAATAAATATTCAATTTCAAATTACAAATAAACTAATTATTACAACTCAAGATTGACATCATCATCATTGTCATCATCGTCAAGATGACCGGGCTGTTCGGGTTCCTTGCCGCCACGGGCACCTCCTCGGCTGCCCGCTCGGTTGCTCGCTCGGATGCCCCCTCGACTGCCGTGACCTCCGGGAGTTTGAAACGGTTGATCATAATAAGAATACGGAAAATTATTGGACAGGTGGCTATAATTGCCGAATTCCATGCCGCCCATGCTGCCCATGCCACCCATGAAGGAAATTTGAGGGGTCATCTCGGGTTGCTGAATGTGCATGGTAGGGCGATAGGTGGCGTTGAAACGATTCATTTGACGTTCAAATTCAGCCATCCGTTCTCTAGTTCTCAGTTCCTCTTCCGCCCGTTCCGCCGCTTGTTGCGCCAATTGTTGCTCAGAAACAGCGGATAGCTGAGAGTATCCCTCACAATCAGCATACAGAGGTTGATCAACATCTTGAAATCTCTCAGCTAAACCTTCGATATGAGGGACATGAAAATTCAGATTTTCATCCGCATGTGGTTGATACGAGGTCGAGGCTTTAGGAGGATCATTAAATGGTTGTGGAGGATTAAACTGAGACGTCAAGGAATCGTATACATCATATACCATTTTTTTGTCCCATTGTCAACGAAACTTTTTTCGTACAAATGTCACACAACCTCGTCGGGGTCTCTAAATTTGAGATTTTTACACTTGACACATGGACATCTGATTCTATCACCATCCATATGATCCTTATGTTCAAATGCAAATTTA